TATATATAATAATCTTTATTCAGCAATAGACACAAATGTCTTTGTGCCATAAATACATTGCATATTCAAGGATATATGTAGCGGTACAATGCATTAAATTACATAAATATAATATAAAGTAAAACAGTGACTTTCCATACTTAAATGCAGGTTTCACGACATCAGGGCGGACGTTACTCCTGATTAAATAAGTTGATGTTCCGTATCTCATTCGCTTTAAAAATGAAAGCGGCAATATTTTTCAATGTACTCTTGCTCGTATACTGTTTACTGGCTACATATTTCCAGGGCTAGCTTCCCACACGAAAACATACTATCACTGACTGTTACAGACGTTGGACGGAAATGAACAATAGCCGACTTATCAGCGTTCATATTTAGTTTATTGGATTCACACCAAGTATTTAGACCATTTAGTAATAACTGGAGACCACGCTCAGTACTAGCCATGATCACCAGATCATCTGCATAGAGTAGGGCACATATTTTACGCTCCGTTACCTCTATATCAACCCCAAACTATTCAAATATGTTATAATGTCATTAATATGCAAGTTGAATAAAATCGGTGATAAAGTACATCCTTGTTTTAAACCGCACGTGACGTCAAACCACTCCGTACTTAATCCATTTACTCTCACACAGCCTTGTACATTTTTATATAAAGACTTCATAGCTGAAATGAGGTTACCAGTAATTCCTAGTTTATTTAGTTTACGAAATAACTAAGGCCTGTTTATACTGTCCCACTCAGATCAAATGCTTAGACGACCTGACGTCCTGCTCGCCAATTTCGAAAAGTGACTCAAGTTATCCACAAAAAGAGGCGGTCCGGAGTTGTTCTTAATAAGAAAAATACATTCTATTTTCGGTCCAGATCAGTACGGTTTGTTGATAAGTCACCCCCTGTTATTGCATAACATACATACTTAATCCTGTTAAGTGACGATTGAATTTCTTTCATTTTTCATTCTTTTATATATGCCTGTTTCACTCACACATGTTTCCAAAAACAGAAAGGGAAGTTAGTTTATAGATGATTTTTTTTACAATTTTAATGATGAAATGAGTTCCTCCTGAGGAGGTAAACGGTTTGTTGGATGCTATCTAAATGAATATTTTTTTTTTTTACATAAGTGGTTAATCTAGTGACTGTAAATAATATACATCTAGAGTCACATAAAAATGGTTCGTACCTTTGGCTTAAGGACTACAACACAGAAGAGATCACTTCCAAAAACTAACCCGGCCATCCCCTTTTAAAATCCTTTAACCAGAGACATATAACATGTACTATACTATAGTGTATGAACGGCGTATATACTGCTTTTTTATGCCTCTGTTTTAACCGCCCGATGTTTATTTTTCAAAACAAAACTTTTTTAAACAAAGTGTCTGATCAGAGACGTATATGTTTCTGGTCTGAAGTGCTGACAAAAAAAAACCGGCAAATAATAAACTTTTTGTTATTAAATTGATCTTTAGAAAATTTGATGAACACCTTTATACAACACAAAACAATTGATTAAAAAATCAATTGATCTAAATTGATCAAATTAACGTAGGCGCACCAAGAGAATATGATATATACGTCTCTGGCGCACCGCACCCCTTTCTTTACAATATGTAGATACACGATTGGAATTGACAAAAAATGCACCGGTAAAATAGTTAATACTCAAAATGAACAGCAACCCTTGTTTTTTCACTCCCAGTCGTAAAACTTGAAACGTTTTTATTCTGTATGCAATCCAAGGAATCCAAGCACAGACCACTTCTAAGAATATTGCAGAGGGAGAACCTGTCCGTTCAAGTCTCACAAAGATTAGTAATTTATCGATGAACCACCTGATCAGATATATAGCATGGTCCATCATTAATTGGCTCGTTTCTGACTTTCATCTGTCGAGTGATGCAGCTGTACTGATTGTGGTTTGCATATAATGTGACTCTGTGACAGCACTTACGCATTTCATTTATTAATATTTTTCTTGAAATTGAACCTTATACCAGAGACGTAATATATATATATATATATATATGTCTCTACGTTAATTTGACTCAATTTTCCCCCGTAATCTCACCTGAGGACATTGTTGTTAAATTGAAAATTGGAAGACACATAATCTACACCAATCTACATACTAACTTCAGGACCCCCTTGACCATCTGCTGGCATCCCTTTGATGTCATACCTGTACACAGGTATATAGGTGTATCGTGGGCCTCCTGCTGTCAGCGCTGTTCACAGGTGTTTAGTGTTTTTTACCTGTACACAAATTTCATAACCAAGTATGCTAAGGGAGTGGATCGAGATGATTTTCAATATTTAACGAAGATTTTAAAATAAAAGTTGTGTAGGCTACATGTATAGGGAAAAACAAAAACAAAAAGTGTTTAATCTCATAATTCAATGATATTTTCGAGATAAATGAAATTCTGGAATTAGATTATAAAAGTCGGTGATCTAGTTTAGCATCGCATACACAGGTACTGTATTGTATACAATCAAATGTTTGAAATGTCGACCTAGCTTAAGGAAGACACAATGTCGTGGATTTGTCTTTAAAAGTTGATACTAAAAATATTGACATTTAAAAACAGCAGACACCAACGTTAGAGTTATTTTGTAAACATTTTCACTGATACCTTTTCGTATTTTTTGACCATAAAGGTACCACAGTATATAACTCTTTTTCAATTTAAATATTTCGTTACAGAAACTGGTCACGACGTAGTGCTGTTTCAATGACGACATGCTTGGATAAGTTCTCTCTGTATAGCAGAAACATATAAAGTATATACGTCTCTATGTAGAGTAAAGAAAATGATTGCAAACTGACTTTCCAGCTACTTTTAGGAAATATCGCAACGGTGACATCGGAATGTCACGTTTGTCGAATGCGTAAAACCTGAGTAGAATCAATTATACATGTATTATGATATTTTGGAAATTGATTGCCGGTGACAAATGATACATTCTGGTGAATCCTGTACCGTTAAATTGTCCGGAGTTCAAAGTAAGTGATCTTTGCTTTACTTATGTCTAAACTGAATAGTATTTTTTGTGTCGAATAACAGTAACATGTCGCACAATGCAAAAGTTGATAGTGATCCAACACCGTTGCCAACTTGAACAATGTTCTGGCTTCACACGCGCCATTAACAGATTAAACGCCGGATCTATGAGAAAGCTACTTGCTAACAATGAGATTATTAGATATACGGAATAAACATCATTGCTTTTTGATATGTGTTTGTTCCCTTTAGATGGTTTGAAATTTAACCCATAGCTCTGAAATTGTAGTATTTGTATTATGAAAACGGATTAGATTACCGATCGCGGGAGGTTCATGAATGCATGTAATTCTCGGTAATTAATAATCAATATGTAATAATGTGTTTACATGATTAAAATATGGTATATTATCATGTACACATAAAAAATTCAATCGCACTGACGATCTAGAAAATGTATTTCTATGGCTCATAATATTGACCAAAATTAATCTTAATGCAATAGCGTGTGGTTTCAACGCCCCCTCCCCCTAAGCATCGTTTTGGATTACCTTCATTTCATTTTAAAGTTTTTATTCAGTTGTAAACACACAATAAGTACAATGTACATGTAATGTGTGCATGGAAAGTGATGAATAAACATCCATTCACTTACTGCAGGGCTTTAAGTTGATCCTTGATAAGTATTTTTTTGCCCCTCCAAATTACATCTTTAGAATCTTTGATTAATTTGAACGAATATGTCAATATGATATGATTTTGACCCTCCAAACCTGAAGGAAGATGTTATTTGACTTATGAAATGGTTCCACTTAGCCGTGTTCATTGTATGTATATCATACAAAATCAAGCATATGGACTTTATTATTAGTTATAATTAGTTAACACAATTGAAATAATTTATAAGTTAAAGTACATCTCTTTATTTTGTTAACCTACATGCAAAAGCATATGTTGCAGGCTCTTGGTTCTATCTAAGTGTGATTTATATGAAACATGTTCCAACTTTCTCACATAAATAGTAATGATACTATTGAGTAGCAAAACTGACAACAAATCAATTTTGAAAGATTATAATCTGTTGCATATATGTGAACCGCAACCTTTAATCTGTATACAAGTGTATACTGTGTTTTAAGCTCAGGACTTATTCGAACTGGATGTAGCTTCTTTAATAATTGTTCTCTTTCTAACACAGCTGACACATCTAAATGTCCTGAGAAACACAAAAATAAAACGTTCACCAAACAATTGTTCTTTGGAGTAAAATCACAAAAAGCTTAAGCACTTCTTTCAAATAAGTTGAATATCATCAATCTTTTAGGAATATATTGATGATTTAAGTGATGTTGAAAATTATTGCTGACAACATAATAGCTTTAACGAGTGGGATTGGTACATGAAGAACAACAGATCTGAGCTAGTGGTGCTGTCAACAGGAACACTGGTGCTGGAGCTGTCCCTGGAACAGCAAGTTTCATTTTGGTTAGCTGAAAAAGATGGAATTCAAATTTAAATCATACTGGTGCCTACATATTTGAATACTTCGGACTTGCTATATATAGTTTCTGGAACCAGAAAAATGATACTACATTGTGTAATATTTTGGTTACAGCACAGACGTTAAATATCAAATAGACATATCCTTTCGCAGAATCAACGCTTATTTTATGAAGGCAAGCATTTTTCAATAGTCATTCAATTTGACAAAATGCTGAAAATTGAAACAAGATTAAATGAAATTCAAAATTTCAATGAAATATTTCGTCCATTTTTGGGAAAGTCCGGTTTAGACAAACGTTTTTATTTTAAGCCTGGTTCATAGTGCTGGGACAGAAGTTTATGTCACATTTTTTTTAACGCAGAATACATAAAGATAACGAAGAGGAGCTGCGAAAATGCACCATGCGGAGTAATTTCGAATAATTTGCACCAAAATATGTATATGATATACATATACTTGCTAATGATTGACATTTAATTCAATGAATTCATTCGAATTAGCTCCGTGCTGTAATGTAACTTGCTGTGATGTTATCAGATTTAGCTGAAAGGATAAACATGTACATGGGCCAAGATGGATTTCAGGTTTGAAAAATGCCTTTGATTGTTGCCTAGAAATATAAACTTCTGAAAGTATTCTATTTTTTAGGTATATCTAGTATATTAAATAACCTATCTCAAAATTTCGAGAATAACATACAAAGGTTAAAGGTCAGCTGACGTTTCTGCATTTTTCTTATAAATGGTTTAAATTTAAAATGATGTAATACGACAAAGTTATTGTTGAAAGTTTACCCTTTAAGTCATTTCTCCCACAGGGGTTTCGTTACAAAATACACATAACGTTTTGCCATACTGATATAGGTCAGAGTCAACATAAACATGTAACGAACCACTGTGCTGTGTATGCCCTCGAAATATAGCTGCCTATAGCCAGAGACGTCTTTTATCACCTCCGAAATATTAAGTTTTACATTCATAATCAGTAAATTCTTTCATTAAAATGTCAAAATCTAAATAAGTATCACGGGCTAACAAGTCAGTCATATTTGACTATGATGAATCATCCAATCAGATATTTACCTGATGCTGCTTGACATTAACAGATAAGCTTGCGACATCAGCACGTGTATGCATTCGTTTTCTATTGGTTTAGTCATAGTTGTTACACTGTGTACTGATCTGTCAAATCAGTGTCACACTCGGTCTCTGATCTCCTAGGTAAACAACGTGGTTATCAATACCGGAAACTTGTCTGTTAAGTCGCACGCAAGCGCAGTACAGGTAAATTGGATCCAGCGACAGATTCAAAAGTCGTCACGGTTCGGTGCACAAATACAAGAGGTGGACAACACATACGCGAGACGAGAGTGGTGTCGCCAATCCCTGTTATCTAAGTACGTGCTTATAATAAATTTCCATAATTTGTTTAAACTGATTTGTAATTTCAAAGTCAGGTTGTTGTGCTACATATTAATTATATGGTGCCTACTCTGTAAGAAGGAGAAACCTAAATTTGAATTTGAAGAAAGGTCTGTCTGGTATTTGTCAATAGATATGGATAACAAACTGTAACTGTCAATATGAAGTATGGATGCCTTTGCGACCATTTTGTTTTTTTCTAAACAGCCTTAATATGAAACTTGCACAACAAAGCCATATGAAAGTAAACATACGAAAACGAATAAAGATCTATCAAGTACTTATTGAGAAATAGCGCTAACAACCTTTCAATCTCTTCATTCAAAATAGCAGTCTGTCACCTATCGTGATATCCTGATCAGACCCTTTAATGCATAACAGAAGACCACGGGAAACCTTCATGTCACATTTGATCATCCCATTACTTTCTGTGAAACGATGTTAACATACCTAAACTCTCACAACATTCCAAATGGCCGCTCGTCCGCCAAATTGGTTTGAAAAAGACACAAAATTTGACATTCATAACAAGAGACCAGAAAATTCCTTAGAATACTTTCTGAGAAATAGAACTAACACTATTCATCTTAATCTCAAAATTCAAACAAGAGTCCCAGAGGGCATGTATCGCTCACCTGAATATGTTTAAAATCATTGTCATGAAGTAAAGATATAGCACTACATGGTAGGTGCTGTACGTACATATGAAATTTCAGAAATATCCATCCAGTACTTGAGATAAAGCGAGAACAAATTTCAAACAGAGTCCCCTACCCTATGCCCCAAGGGGGTCATACCCACCAATTATACAAAATTGAGTCTCCTTGGCCCAAGGTTGCACCAGACTAAATAAGTATAAATTCCTTAATCCCGATGGTAGAAGAAGGATTTAAAAGGGGGGTGGGTGGGTGGGGCGCACACTCGCTGTTTATACGAAATTGAGTCCCCAAGGATGCTCAAGACTGTATTAGGATAAATCCCTTAAGCCCTGTGGTAGAAGAGATTACAAAGGTTTTACCTCTTTTTCTCCTATTGGGCCCCGCCCACTATTTATACCAAATGTGTTAACCTTTATCCAAGGATGCTCCACACCAAATATTGATCAAATTCTTTCATTCCTATAAAAGAAGGATTTTAAAGAATAATTTGCTTAGTTTCCCCTTATTGGGCCCAACCCGTCAGGTCCCTTGGGGCCAAACCCACGGTTTATACAAAATTGGTTCCCCTTCACCTAAGGATGCTTCGGACTAAATATGGAACACATCCTTTCGTTCCTACAGAAAAAGAGGGATTTTAAAGAATTTGCTATATTTCCCCTATTCGGCCTCGCCCCCAGGGAGAACAGACCCACCATTTATATAAATTTTGTTCCACTTTCCCGATGGATGCTTCTGACTTGATTTGGTCAAAATCTGCTCAGTCGTTCATGATTAGTAGCGATTTTTAAGTAAAAGTTGGCGGACGGACGACGAACGGACGCTGCGGTTTGGCATACACTCACCATGGTCCTTCGGACCAGGTGAGCTAAAAACATTTTGCCGCCTATCGGCCATCTTTGTTAAGAACACCATAAGAACATTCGTGTTAAACTTCAGAAAAAACACCCTAGTTCTTTCTAAAAAATGGCGTTATCAATCTATCAACATTCAAAACGGATATCTGTTGGTGGTAATTTAACACGGTGTAAGTAATTGCTGTGATACCACCTGTATACACTTTCTACGTAAAGTTAACGAATAAAGATTTAAGAATAACTGTAAAGTAAACGAATAACGAATAACTGTCTAACTTTACCTCCGCCCCCCGGAAAGTAAAGTTAGACAGTTATTCAATAACGAATTACGAATAACGAATAACTGTCCAACTTTACTTTGCTGAGAAAAGTTAAGTCCTAAACATGTCCAAAATTTACAATCTAGAAATTACTGTTGAGGAAATAGGTTAAATATGCAAAAATCCAAG